TGTTCTGCAATGCCCCCTCTCATCATGATGAGAGGGGGAGGCGCAAGCCCCCCGCGGCTCCTCACGACGGGCGAACACATCCGTATTCGCGCCCCCGCGGTCTGGACTTCGCGGCGCGGTCCCGCGGATGCGAGGCCCCGCGTGGCTCATCACGAGCGGCGAACATTTTAACCGTATCCGCGCCGTCGCGGTCTGGAATATGATACGCGGATGCGCGGTCGCAATATGATACGTGCCGTGCGGAGACATGCGCGAGAACGCGACATGCATTCGTGGGGTCGCTGCCCAGGGACCCAGCCCGCGAGGCCGCGGATACGTATAATGTGTTTCGCCTCGCGTGGCCCCCAAACCCAAGTCAGCTGGAGGGGATCAGAGGGGATTGGCTGTCGCCCATTAGCGCTGACTCCAGTTACGTGCGCCGCCCAGAGGGGTTGTACGTACCCTTCCCCCAGGAGTGTGAATGCGTTGGGGCCTCCGCCCCTTGAATCCGTCTTGCCCTTGGCGTCTGGCCTGACGTCATCGGGAAACTTCAAGGCGATTTGGAATTCAGTCCCCTGCGGCCCGGCAGGGCCCCGCGCCAGGCGGGGTAGGATTGAGCCCCAACTGCTGCATGAGTTCCCAAAAGGTCAGGGTCAGAGGCCCATAGTCCAGGCTCCGCGGAAGCCGGAAGGATCAAGGAGGCCCTCCCCGTAAGTCCCACCAGCCTCCTGGGCGTAGGTGGTTTCACTGATTTTGTCCTCTCTCTCTGCCAAAACCCCTCCTCCCTCGGCTCGGGGGAAGGGTTTATCACTGTTCCCTATTGGTATACACCCCCTCCCCCAGGCGACCGGCAGCCAACCAGGAACAATTCCGACCCTCATGCTCCCCACCCCCCAACCATCCCTGTCAACAAACAATACAAACACACACACTATGAGCCAGCGCAACCAACCCGATGCGGGTCCCCTCCACCATCCCTGTCAAAAACAATATAAAGTAAACTTTGAGGCAATGAGGCAAAGTCTTGACTCATGTTCGTGAGCCCCGCTGACACTTAGTATTGCTTTTGACAGGCACGGCTGGGGGGTCAGCATATTGACTGTTGTGCGCAGGTCCACCGCCCATATCAAAAAGCAACACCAAATACACCTCGCGGCTAAATCTGGATCATGTGCGGCCACCCCGCGATCACTGTCAAGTGGTTTTTGACAGGGACGGCGGGATGGTGGCGCATGGCTTGCTGCGTGCAGGCCCACCAGACACCATGATGGGCATTGGTTTGCGACAGTGATGGTGGGGGCTGACATGTTTCCCGATGGGTGCTGTCACGTGCGCAGGTGCACCTGACACATTCTGCACGTGCCCCGAACGTGGTGCACCCGGCGCGGCTGGAGTATGCGGCACACCTGGCGCACGTGGAGCACTTCGCGCATCTGGCGCACCAGGCGTACCTGGCACGCTCGGGCCCCAGGGGTGCCTGGCGCTCGTGGTGCTCCTGGCACGCGTGGCGCACCTCGCCCCAGCGTCGCGCACATGGGGTCGGAGTTGGTTCCCAGTAGCTGCACATCCAAAGACGACCGCTGAACATGTTGAGGCTCGGGTGTTACTCATGTGTTGGGAGGGCGGGTGGGAGTGAGCCAGACGGCTTGCTATCTAGGAGGGTATCTTGACCCCTCCCCCCCCTCCCCTGGGTCTGGGAGGGGGGCGCGGGTAGTTGGAGCGCCCAAGGTGGCCCAAGATGGCTCCAAGGGGGCCTTCGAGAGCCTGAGATGGCCTCCACGATGGCTTAAGATACCTCAAGCTGGTTCAACATAGCCTCCGACACACATCCAAGAAGCCTCAAGACGGCCCCAAGACGGTTTCAAGTGCCCTCCGAGCCCTCCAAGGACCCCCCCCCAGAGGCCAAAGTGGTTCCATCACCGATGGAGGACCAGTGTGTTCTGCTTTCTCGCCTTTTCGCTTCAGATGGGTTCTTGAGGCCTTACGATGGCCCCAAGACGGCTCCAGGAAGGGCTCCAATCTGTGCTCTGTCGTCTCGCCTTTCCACTTCCGCTGGGCTCTTGAGGCCTCAAGATGGCCCAGGAAGCCCCAAGAGAGCCCCCACAGGGGCCCAAGAGGGCCCGAAGAGCGCCCAAGAGCGCCCCAAGAGGGCCCCAAGAGGGAATCAAAACATACTATTTGAGCCCCCGAAGGGGGTGACCTCAATCCACTACCCCCCCTCTTTTTGAGACATGGGGCCCAAGACGGCCCCCAAGCGGCCCCCCAGACCCCCACCCAAAGAGCTCCAAGAGGGACCCTAGACCCCCAAAAGAGCCCCATGAGGGCCCTAAGAGTGCCCCAAGTGGCTCCGCGAGGACCCAAAGAGAGACCCAAGACGGCTCCAAGAGACCTCCGAGAAAACACTTCCACGGCGGTTGTTGTACTGCATGTGTCTACGCTTCCCTGATCAAGGCAACTCGCGGGCTGGTGGCGATACGCAAAGCGTCAAGAATTACCTTTCGGGACAAAAGCACGCCCCCGCCTAGAAGCTCTCGCACAGCACTCTGGAAGACTTCATCCTTGTTGAAATCCTTCTTCGAGCTGGTGGTGAAAACAAGGTCCAGCTCGTCGCATGCATGCTGCTCCACCGCATCCTGGAAAGCCTTGCCGACGCCCAGCTCCTGCAACAGGTCTTGCCAGGGAACACCAGCGAGACTCTGGGTAACCTCGCGCTTCAAGTTCCGCAACATATCCTCCATGACGTGCTTCCGCTTGGCGATCACCTGCTCGATCGTGAGAGCGGTCAGATTCACGTCCAAGCGCGTCTGCACGACGAGCACCGATGCCTCCACCCGACCCGAGACCACCTCGATCCCTGTCAGCGGAGCGAAGCAGATCTCTTTCTCGTGCGGGTACTGTGATCCGCCACCTTGCACCCTGGCACGTTGAGGCGTGGCAGAACGCTATGTGCTGCCTGGTCGGGTTTCTGCAATCTTCTGCGGCCCCCTCGCTCTGCTAGCACCCACCTGCGTGCACCCCTTCTCCCGAGGCTCCCTGGGCTGCCAGATGCCTCCTCGAGGCTCTCCGAAGCGAACAGGATGTCCAAGATGGCTTTCCAAGAGGGCCAAGGCAAGCTACCAAGGCCGCCGGGAGGGTCCAATCTGTTTCCATGAGGCCCATGGTGGCCCCAAAACGGCCGAAGATGGCCTCAAAGCGGCCCAACTCTGCCTCCAAGAAAACCCCCGAAAGCCACAAGAGGATCCCCAACATTGTCCGAATAAGTCCACATCATTGATTCTCCGAGCGCCTTTTTGAAGGAGTGTTCCACTCTTGCCTTTCGGTTTCCCTTCAGCTCAAGGTGGGGCCTACGGAGCCAACTTGATGGCCCCAAGAAGGCCGAAGAGTCCCGAAGTTGACCCCACGATATTCCAAAACGTATCCAGGACGGCCCCAAGACGACCAAAGAGGGCACCTGGAGGAAGCCAAAACGATTTCAGAAGGCCCTTCGACGGCCCAAGACGCTCAAGACGGCCCGAGAAAGAGATCCCCAAGACGGCCTAAGAGGGCCCCAGTAATTACGGCCCAAGAGGGCCCAAAGACGGCTCCAGGGGACCCCGACGACTGCCTCTGACTAGGCCTAGACAACGCCAAGACGACCCAAATGAGTTCCATGAGAGCTCCGCAAGAAGCGAATACGAAAAATGTCGCATGTGACGGCCCGCCTTTTCCTCCTCTGCCTCATGCTCCACCTCCGGCTCCTCCTCCTTCTCCTCTTCCTCCTCATCCTCCTCCTCGTCACCATCATCTACATCGTCCCCATAATCATCATCATCCGCATAACGGCTCGCCCAAGCCTGGGACCACGAGTTGTCACACGCGACGGCACCCCGTTCCCCCTCGAACAGTCGCTACCCAGAATACTGGACTGGCACGGTGACGGGACTTGCCGCAGACAGCTGGACAGCACGGACAAGTCTGCCCCACGATCAACCAAACCCATTTGAATCTCCAGCACTGTGCTGACGCCTCCTTTGGCGTAAGAGAGCGCGACCTCCTTCTCCACTGTGGTACTCATGAACCCGAATTCCACGCCGCCGCGGACACCATCTTGGTTCTCCTCCCAAAACTCATCAGGCAACACTCCATCGACGAATCCTCTGTACACCGTCACAGCCTTCTGGAGCTTGCTAAGCTTCACGATGCAAGAATTGATGGCGTGAATAGTCGTCACGTACCGATTGCTTAAGCATAATTCCTGGAACTGCGTCTTGGCGTAATCGCTCTGCTGGACATTGAGAGCGCCGCCGCGGTTCACCGCATTGTACTTCACGAAGAGAGGGCCGGTGTAGAGCACACCGCCTAGCATCTCCTCTCGCATCAATGTGACATGATCAGCTTTCTCCAGCTTCGAGTTGAGGCCATCCAGGATCAGGTCCAGCTCTGCAGAGGAGCGCATCCTTCGGCACTTCGCGAGGTCGCCCGAGTCCAGCAACTTCTGCTCCTGTGGCCACTGCTGCAGACTCACCTGTTCGGGCCCGCCCTCCGGGCTGGCTACGAATAGCCATTCTGTCATAGACGTGGTTGTGATGCCGTAGTTCCCCGTGGTGAACTTCTCCGACGAGTCTTTCTCCTCGCAGTGCTCGTGCCGCATGGCCTGCAGGACTCTGGCGCTGGGCGAGCCAATGAGAGCTTCGAGGCCACCGTAGAAGACGTTCAGACCACCAAACGCCATCTTGAACTTCGCGTCTTGGGCGAACTTGCCATTCAGCTCTTCTGCTGTGGCAGCTCTCGCTTCTTTGAGCACCCGCAGCTCCTTCCAGATCTCGTCCGCCATTGATTCGAGCACGAGCTGGCTTCGCAGCAGCTCCAGTATCACATCTCGGGTGCCCTTCTCTGCCAGAGACTTCATGAACAGAAGCTGCAGCGTAGGAGGTGGCTCAGGAGAGATCGGGTAATTTAGTGCACTGGCGACGATGGGGCTTATCATGGACTTACCCAGCCATTTATGGGTTGTCCACGTCTCCTGCCCAGACGTGCCGCCGCCCTCGGAGCCCCACGTCTGCTTGGCCGCCTCAACGCATCTCGATAGCTGAACTCCCTGCGCACTCGCCGTGGCATGCTCCGCGAGCCCACCCTGGTCGGTGGGGGCATTGGCATGCTGAACCCACTCTTGCTTCCTTATGGTGCCGCTGGCATCCGTGTCGATTTTCTCAAACAGCTTCGCCCACTCCGCCTGTGCTAAAGAGGCCTTGCTCTTCTTAGGTATGCCATCGAAGAGTCCAGTGTCCAAGCCGCAATTGCACCACTCCTTCCTGGACACCACCAGGCTGTCACGTTTCTCGATCTTGTTCCACGTGGCCATCCACTCCTCTCGGGAAATTCGCCGACCCAACGGACCAGAGGCGTGTTAAAACGGCTGGTAAGAACTCCGCTGCATTTCCAGTTTGCGCGCGCGGGGCGGCCCTCCGTATGCCTCTGTTTCTGCACACCCCTCACACGTTCCGTACCCCCACAAGGGGGCCCCACCGAAGGCCACAGCGGGAGGGTCCACATGCGTCTCCCCACCACATCGCGGCACACCCCTCACACGCTCCGTGTCTCCAGAGGGTGCTCCACCGAAGGCCCCAGTGGGAAGGGCCACATGCGTCTCCCCGCCTCATTTCGGCATACCACTCACACGCCACATTTCGGGAGGATCCACATGCGTCTCCCCTCCCAATTCCGGCACCTTTCGTGGTCCCGTAGGGAGCTACACCGATTGCCCTTGTGGAAGAGACCACATGCGTCTCCCCGCCCCATTTCGGCACTCCCCTCACACGCTCCGTGGCCCGGTAAGGAGCTAAACCGAAGGCCTCAGCAGGAGGGTCCACATGCGTCTCCCCGCCTCATTTCGGCACAGCTCTCACACTTTTCGTGGCCCCATAGGGAGCTCCACCGAAGGCCCCAGTAGGAGAGTCCCTATGCGTCTCCTCGCCCCATGTTGGCACACCTCTCACACTTTTCGTGGCCCCGTACGGCACTTCACCGAAAGCCCCAATGGGAGTGTCCACATGCGTCTCCACGCCCCATTTCGGCACACCCATTCGGGGATCTTCTGACCCGGGTCAATCCAGACCCGGGTCAGTCAGGCCTTGCAGAATTCTGCCTGCTCCTGCAAGATCCTGCACCCAAACCCGGGGCAACGCGAAGGATCCTGCAGGATCCTGCGCCCAAACCTGGGTCAGTGCGACCCTGGCCCTGCAGGATCCTGCAAGGTCGGGCGCTCTGGCTGACCCCCGTCTGCATTGACCCCCGTCTCAAGGTTCCCGACCCATTTCGGCACGCCCCAGTCGGCACACCCCCATGAGGAGCTCCACCGAAGGCCCCAGTTGGGGGTGGGGTCCGCATGCAACTCCCCGCCTCATACGCTTCGTGGCCCCAGAAGGAACTCCGCCGAAGGCACCTGTGGGAGGGTCTGCATGCGTCGCCCCCGCCCACTACATCGCTTCCTGGCCCCAGCCGAAGCCCCACTTAAGAGGGAGCTCCCCCGAAGGCCCCAGTGACCGCGGCCGCATGTTTCCCCCCACCCAGTACAACGATTCGTGGCCCGATAGGGAGCTCCACCGAAGGCTCCAGTGGCAGTAGCCGAGTGTTCCGAAAGCTTCACTGGCGACGTTCGTATGCGGACCCCGGGCCAATTTCGGCCTTTCACACGTTTCGTGTCCCCGTAGGGAGCTCCACCGAGGGCCCCAATGGCACAATTCGCATTCGCACACCCTATAACCAGCACCATTAAGGCACACCCCTAACGCGTTTCGTGGCCCCATAGGGAGCTCCACCGAAGGCGGTAAACACAACGAGATACTCATAACTGAAATGTGTTGAGCCCTTCGCCCAAATAATTTCTGCTGTGCGTGGCCTTCCAAGTGACGCAGAGCGCCCGGAACTGGCCCAAGAGGGTGCCATGATGGTCCAGTTGCGCTCCAAGATGGGTGAAGCTGGCTTCAAGAAGAAGGCAGATGGTTCCAAGACTGCCAAAGACCGCTCAAAGACAACCCAACATCGCCTCAAGCAGCCCCCAAGAGCGCTTGAAGAGGGTACCTAAGGTGGCCCCAAGGAGGCACACGCATTTCCCAAACAGTGCTTGCACTTAGGGGGCTCTTGCTTCTTTTCTGGGCCTGCCCGTCGGTATGGCGGCTGTGCGGTTGCCGTCGCCGCCGCGTCACCGCCTCGTCGCCGCCCGTCTTCTGGGCCTGCCCTTCGGTCTGGCGGCTATGTCATCGCCGTCGCCGCCCCGTCGCTCTGGGCCTGCCTATCGGGCTGGCGGCTATGTAGTCGCAGTCGCCGCTCCGTCGCCGTCTGGGCCAGCATTATTTTGCTTTGCTTCGCGTTACTTTACATCGCGTTGCATTTGTTTGCGTTGGTTTCGTTGCGTTGCATTGCGCTGGCTTGCGTAAGTTTGCATTGATGTGTACTGTGTTGCGTACATGTGCACCACATGGATTGCACCGCATGGATTGTACTATATACATATCTATGCACATGTACTGTGCGACTTGTGTGGCGCAAGTGGTGCAGTCTAGGTTGTGCAACACACGTTGTGCAATCCATGCGGTGCAATCTACGTGGTACAATCAATATGGTGCCATATATGAGGCGCATTCTATTGGTGCACGCTGTGTTGTGCAATCTATATTGCGCAATGAATCTGGTGCAATGTAAGTTGTGCCGTCTATAAATGTAAATATCGGTGGTGCTATATACGCGGTGTACTTCACTTGCCAAACTTGAAGTTGACACCTCCACTGCTCGCGCAATCATCCTACCCACCCACCCGAAACTTGGTTTGCAAAACCCATGCGGGCGCGATTGCGATGAGTGCTGAGTGTTGGCTGGTGCATCTCTGCGGCCGCGCTAGCCCGCGCATGCTCGCGCGCACAGCGGCCAGCTAGTTTGGCGCGACCGACGCGAACGAGGTGGCGCTGACCGCTGGGCGCATCCGCGCAGGCACTTCAATGCGAGTCGGCGACGTGGGCGGGCGCAGTATCATGACAACATCGACAACGGTAGACACGATGATGATAATACCGATGCTGGCGATGATGCTGACAGCGACGACGGGGCAGCCAGTGACGGCGCCGATGCTGATCACGCCGACACTGCGCGTCGGTAAAGAAGGTTTTGGAAGGAATTCGACATGCGCGCGCGGCAGACGCGTGAGAGTGGCCCGCATGGAATTATTTGACACGGATCGTGCAACCCCAACACGCGCGCAAAGGCGTGCGAACGATTTCGACATGCGCGCGCGAAGCCCGTCCGGTAGCATGTTATGAAGATGTTGAACAACATATGGCTTCCTTAAGACTTCGCAAGAACGCGCGCGCACAATTTTGATGAACATCCGTGTTGCGAAACCATGTTTTGGTTTGACTTGTTTTTTGGGGACTCGATTTTGAGACCTTTCCGAAACCGAGGGTTTTTGAAATATTTCGGCATGCGCGCGCGACGACGCACGCGTGCGCACTTCGTCCCATTTTTTGCAATGGTTTCTTGACAACCTATGACTTTTGATAAACGAGTGCGCGCGCATATAATTTTTGCAAGGGAACCGAGGGGGGTACCCATACTGGCCTGGCTGGGATAGTATGAACTCACAGGATGGACATTGGGTGAGAATCATACGTGTTTTGCATAGGCTCGCGGGAAATCGATAAATCCGGGGGGGGGTAGTAGAACCGATCTCCTTGTTTGAAAGGAAGATCTACGTAATGCTGTATACGTGGCGCAGTCCACGTTGTGCAATTTAGGCGGCGACGGGGACAACATAGCCGCCAGACTGGCAATCAGGCCCAGACGACGGGCGGCGACGAGGCGTCGACGGGGCGGCGACGGCGACAACACAGCTGCCAGACGCCAGACCGACGGTCAGATCCAGACGACGGGCGGCCACGAGCTGACGACGGGGCGGCGACAGCGACCACATAGCCGCCAGTCCGACAAGCAGGCCCAGTTCCTCGGAAAAGAAACGGAAGCCCCTAACTTTCAGCACCGATTGGGGGATCTACATTGTGCTTCCCCGAAACACTTTCTCACTAAGAGCTTTTACTTGCGTTCCAAAGTAATGCGGGATGACGATTGATTAAAACATGGGAGAGAACGATTAAACAAATAGTTTTCTGCACGATTTTCTGACTGGAGGAGAACGATTAAAAACATAGTTGTCCAGTCCGCGGCCGGTTTTGTCTAATCGTCATCCCGGGCGCCGCCGCGTGAACACGACCCCCGGTCATTTATTGATCGTCATCCTCCATTAACTGGGCCCCGGTGGCGGTCCGGCCGACGCCCGTCGCTGCCCGTCGCCGCCGGGCCCCGCTGGGCCCCGCAGGCGGCCCAGCCGTCGCGTCGCCGCCCGTCGCCGACCGCTGCCGCCTTTCGCTGCTGGGCTCCAGTGGCGGCCCAGCCGGCTCGTCGCCGCCCGTCGCCGCTCTGCTTTGCATTTGCACTGCTTTGCACTGCGTCGCGCTGCTTTGCATTGCACTGGCACCTCACTGTTGCACTACATTGCTCTGCATAGCACTGCCTTGCATTGCCGCGCATGGACTTGGATCACATTTCTTTGCGCTGCCTTGCACTGCACTCGCATGGCACTGTTGCGTGGAATCGTTTGGCATTGCTTTGCCCTGCCTGGCATTGATTCGAACTGCTGTGCATTGCTTTGCGCTGCTTAGATCTAGATTGCACCACATGGATTGCACCACATAGCAAGGAATCAGGGTTTGGGGCCCACGCTTGCTAACTTTGATGTTATGCAAGTGTTTCAACGAGTCTCCAGCTCTTGCCTTCCAGGGCGTCTGTCGGCTCAAGAGGCCGAAGAGGCCTTCAGGATGGCCCCAAGACTGCACTAAATGACGCAGGAGGCCTCCAAGAGGCCCCCTAGATCGCCCCACGTCAGCCCAGGAGGCTCCCTGGACGGCCACGAGACGAACCAAAAGATCTCCCAAGAGAGCTCCAGAGACACCCAAAACGGCCGCATGAGGGCGAATCCGCGAACTGGCATGCCGAGCGCCTTCCTAAACAGATGCCCCGCGAAACCGCCAGCAAACTCCTACGAGGCCCTGAAGAATCCCCTGGAGACCCAAAACGCTGCCCCGGAAATCCTTATGAGGTCTCGACAGTGCCGTCAAGAGGGCTCCGAAACGCCTCCCAAGAGACACCAAGAAGCCTCTTCGAGAGGCGTCTCGTCTCCCCGCTTCTTCCCTCTCCCCTCCCCTCCCCCACCACGCACCAACGGTGATGAGATGTGGGCCAGGAGGGCGAGCGAAGCTCTTCAATAACGCCTTCTCCTCCTCCTCCTCCTCCTCCTCCTCCTCCTCCTCCTCCTCCTCCTCC